CTGCAAATACCGTGATAATGGTGAAGTTCTGAATTGTTAGTGCATTTCCATTTAGGATGGAAAGTTTCATTGCAATGACTATGCTCTGCTGTTAATATAATTCATACAATATCAACAGTTGGCATATTTCTTAAGATGCTGATAAAAAAACACTGAGCTATTATAATCAACAGTGAGCTAGTAGATATTGTTAGCAAGCGATATCCAAACCACAAACCTTTTTTACTGGAAAAAAAAAAGCTCAGCATGGCAGCCATGTGCACATACTTGGAGACAAAAAGTGTCACTGTGGTTGAGTGATTAGTAAGTTTTAAATAAATGTGCAGAAGATAACTATAATCAAATCCAGACACAAGGCCTGTTTGGTAAATTCAGTACTGTAGTTTAAGTTCTTTTTGAGATTTCCTTAATACAATGTTGTATATTAAACAATACAATCTTCAGCAAATTTGTGAGACTAGAAGACATTTCTCTTGCAATAAAGAAATCACATGTTAAAACGAAAACAGGTTTTTCTTTCAAAATTACATGGAAGAAATATGAATCATTTTGCAATAATCACCAACAAAAACAAAGCCAACATTTTTTAACTCTGACACCAGGAGCTACATTCCTCTTGGGGAATGGGAAACACTACAGAAAACACAACTTCCCTTCCCTTTTCTGAGGTCAAAGCTATTTCAGCCACTAGGGCAAACAGGGCAGTTAAAACATTTAGTGGTGAACAGCAGGGGTTTTTCTGGACCAAATCCAAATATGTCCTCCATTAATTACAGAAAAAGCAAAACAATGCTCATCCACCTCTTTTCATGTGAACAGTTATTCACAACTTTTAACTCTACAACTTGAAAAACTAAAAATGCCAGCACCAATGCACAGAAAATTATGAAATTGGGAAATCAGAAAGGAAAGCCTTAGAGTGGTTATTAAAAATGTGGAATAGTAGCAAGTCTGGTAAACAACATAGGGCTATCATAAGGCTTGGAGATAGGAACAAATCCTAGTCTGATGTAATTTGTCACAGATCCAGTGGAGCTATGATGATTTAGACCAGCTGCATCTCTGCCTCATCTAAAGGCACCTTTCCTTAGATTTAAATGTTCTGAAGGAGACCAAGGAAAACATTCATATTTTACATAAAAAATGAGTTTGAAGCAAACAGTGTTTCTGAAACACAGCTCACCTGACTGGATGAACTGTTTTATATAGCAGTGAAACTCCTTAATGACCTATGCTGCCTACACCCTTCAAACAAAAGCTCCCCACTTCATGCCCTAGAAGGGCTCCTTATTTTTTAGACTGCTCTATGTCGGGGCTATAGTGCAAACTCAGAATATATGGTATTATTTCAGAGGCAACAAAAAGCCAAAACAAAACGCAAGATCAGAAATAGATCAATCTGATATAAATTATTTTTCAGCAGTGGATTCCAGTGCTGATTTTCCAAAACAGGAGCTCAGATATCCACCCTGTCAAAACAAAGCTTTTAAACTACAAAAGTCAGCAAGAGTGAACCATTCTTTTTATCAGTTATGGGAAAGTCATTAGTACAGCCTACTCAAGCCTAAGAAGAGAGAGAGGTGTGCTCTGGCTGTATGCAATGGGAATGAAATGAGACAAGTCATGTTTCCTAACAGATAAAGCAAAACACATCAGAAACAAGCAGCATGCTATATTATTTCTGAAAGAATCAGACAAAAGAACTTGACGAAAAGAAAATGTGTGGCACTCGGCTCAGCAATATGCTGGAAAAAAGTGGTTAGCACCCCCACACCTCCTCTAAGCAGTATATTAGAAAAACATAAAACAGATACCATAATACCAAATACATAAGTATCCTTTGGGATTTCTATGGGTATGTCTATACTGCTTCTATGGTAATCTTAATGTTTTGTGTGACAGTCTACTGCTGCTTGGCAGGCCAGCTCTTGGATTATGGAGATTTCCCAGTCCGTAGCATGGTATCAGGCCAAGCTCTTTCAAGAAGGCAGCAACATAAGAAAGGTAGGATTGTATGGAAGTGCAGTCAAGTGGCAGAAGATTATTAAAATGTACATCTAGCCAGAAAAAATGGAGTGTATTTACCAGCCAGAATAGGATGCTTTTGCAATTCAAACACGCTATATGAGTCCAGCCTGAACTTAATACCCTGTTTTGATCTGTGTGTCTCCTTCTGACATGTAATTGCAGGAGGCAACCCAAACATGGAAACTGCCAGGGGATGGCAAGATAGAAAGAAAGACGACTAAGGCTAAACAGAACAGCTTGTCCCATTGTACCCACCTTCTGATATTTTCCTTTAAGAAATGTTGTGGAAAAAGGTGGACTGTCCAAGGAGGACACCGATCAAAGCAGAACATTCTCCCTCACACTTTCCATTTCTTGTGGAGCTCAAATTTTGTGCAAACAACGTGGTTTCGTTAATGCCGCTTTGGGGATTAATTCCCTTTCCACCTTCTGTAACCCCCCCTTCAGAAGCCCTCGCAGTATCAGAAAGAAGTCAGTCTTGTTAGGGGTTGTTTGTCAGAGTTCCCTATTAATTCTCAAACCATAGAGCAAATAAACAGTCCATCTCTCTCCAAATCCTGACATCTCATATGAAAAAATGTAGAACCCCGCCCCCTCCGCCCCAGTTCATGAAAATGTCTCCCGTCTCAACCAGCTCCAGTTTGTACTTAGCTCTGAAAATATACAGTGCAAATCAGCAATTACTGCAAAATGCCTTGGTTTTGTCAATAATTTTTTGAGCACATCCTGTGAGGGAAGTGGGCTAAAGTTCAGGAAGTCATTTTGTTGCTCAAAAATGGTGATGGCTTCAGACTCAGGTGCTGGAGAGAGAGAGATTCTCTTGGTCGTACATTTTTACTGTACTCCAGATTTTCAAATCATTAGATTCATCTGCTGTAGACCAAACTGTTCTCTTTATCCAGCCAATGGCTAGATTCAGTATTGTGTCCTGTCGAAGGATTTAGTGCTGCGAGTTGGATTTTCATATAGTTTTGACCTGAATAAAAATTTCTTTCAACTACTACTTTCCTCACTATTTTTCTTCTATCCAAAATATCCCAACTTATTTGCATAATTAAGATGGCATGTCCAGGGCTCACTATGCACTTATGCTCAAGAGAACCCAGAGTATTTTCTGCCTAGGGACTCAAAAGTAATGCCACAGTCCCTGAGCTCTAAGCAAGAAAATATGACAGTATACAAAATAGCTGCCTTAGGGGAGCCAAAATATTCTCTGTCGACATGCCCACAGGACCAGCAGCAGACATCTCTGTCCTCTCACGTGAGAATGTTGCTGCCTAACCTCTGGGCTTTTCTACTGCAATTACTATTTTGGAGGTCTGCAGTGTCCCAGAAAGGTTTTGGATGCACAAAGAGTATCTAGTGCTTATCTAGTGCATAGCTTCCTAAGTTATTTTTCAAATTACAGCTATTGTTATTAAGAATGTTATTAAGCATGTTACCACAGCCTATCTCAAATACCACAGTTTTCCTCTGCCATGAGACTACTCCAATACAGGCTAATCACATGATAAGCAATTACTGGTTAGTCAACCCACGGTAGCCTAATCTGTGAAAGCACATTACATATACTGTATTTTCACTCCCCTTATCAGCGCTGGCTCTGTTCCATGGCATGACCAGCTATATATCTGTTGTGAAGTAGGGCCTCAACTTCAAACTGACACAATTTATGATGTTTATATTTTTAGGGTGCTGTACAATGGTGACATAGCACAGAGGTATCTTCCCATGGATACAGAGGCATAAAATTGAACCTAACTCTAGATTCAGGCCAAAGATTGCCTTCAGTCAAACCAGCTGCAAATTAGTAGTGGCCCTTTTGGACTCCTTTGAAAAGTCACAGATAGCAAGGACAGCAGCCACATCACCCCCTTTGCTGCTGCTGGCCACATCACCCCCTTTGCTGCTGGCTACTGAAGATTGTATGCCATAACCATTCAAATCTTATGAGCCGCCAAAGTCTGGGAAACAACTCTAGGGTGGCGACCTGTCTCCCCATTCTGGAGAGTGTGAGACAACCTAATGGAGATGAGCATCGGTAATTGTCTTGTTTTGGCAACACGTAAAAGAATGAACTATGCAGAAGGCAGGTCAGGATGGCATCTAATAGACTAATTTATTCAGGGGTGAACTACAATAAAATAAAATAGAATAATAACTGTCAAAAACAACAAATTTATTATGATATAACCTTTATTTGTTTGCTAATCTGCTTGGTGACAAAAATGTGGAGAGAAGAAAATAGTTCAAGAATTTGCACTTTTCTACCTTTTCCTTACTTCTAAATGCTTGAATAGGTCCATCCTTAGAATAGGCTGGCAAAAAGTCATAATGGCTCACACAAAAATTTAATCTGCAGGGACTGCATCATCTAATAATTATCTGCATTTTGGACTCAGAGGGCATGTCCCCAAGAGTGGGAATGTGCGTTTCTCCAGGGACAAACAGCAGCGGCACAATTTGTGCTGCTGCTGCTTGTCCCTGGGAAATGCCTCTGCCCCAGTAGACTTACCTTGGGTCCCAAGGGCCTCCAGGGGCTGCAGCCACAGCAATCTAGCAGGACGGAGCCTGGCTGGCAGCTGGAGTACAGCCCTGGCTGTCCAGGCTCTGGTTTCTGGTGGTGCTCGCTGCCACCACGTGCACTGCTCTGCTTTTTTAAGGTGTGAGGATTTTTTTGACACCAGGATCTAACCCCTGCCCACACTGTAAATTAGCAGTGCGGGGAATGCCTGAATGTGTAGTGCGTGCGGTGTGCAGTGCCACAGATACATCTGCACAACTGCATACCACATGTCTGCACTTGTCTGGATGTGCCCAGAGAGGTGAGGAAAAAAAAGTTAATTATTTGAAGCCTAAAGGCAGGATCACATTTGAAAGGCTTTTTAGTGAAGCCACACTGACATATTACACTGACAAACTGCTTGTTGTGAGGGTACACCTTGTACTGACACTTCATCCAGCCTGTTTTATTCTGGGAGCAGAGCTATCTCGGCAAAAGTGAGCTTTGTCAGTGTAATTATATCTACACCAGGGGCTTCTGCCAGCAACACTCTGTTGGTGATAGAACACACCCTTGCAACTTTCCTGTTTGACAAAGCTGTGGTGGCAAAAGTTTGTAGATTATAGCTGGCCTAAAGAAGAGGTTCACTGTCCTATAGGTTTGTAAGTGATACTGCAGAACGAAGTTTAAACACTGTGGAATGGTGAGGCTGGAAAAACTGCAAGAAGGACCCTGAAAAGACAGCCCTTCCTTACTTCACTTCTGGTCTGAGCATAGGTAAATGGTAAGACTAGATATTACATCTTAATTACTGTTACTGCCTAGGGCTGCACATTTTCACTACAATTAACCTGAGTCAATTACAGCTACTGTTATGAAAAAAAATCACTTTAACAGCTAACTCATTTTCCTTCTTAGAGCTCAGGGAACAGCGGCATCACTTCTGAGTCCCTCTGCAGAAGCCAAATGGGCCTATCCTTTAATTTAGCAAAGATGAAGAGGAAAAAAGAATCAAAGTACAATATTCTTGAATGAAAATATCTAAAGTTTAGCTTTGCTTCAGAAAGTGACTGCAAGGCTAAGTACTGACAGTTAAAAAGCCTGAATCTGAATTGATTCATGGGCTGTGTGTTCACTTCCTCTTCCTGCTGCCCTGAGGTCTCTGAGAGTTGAAGTCCAGAGTCACAACTGCAGGACTCTGCAGGGTTGCTCATCATTTCCTCTTCCTGCTTCTAGGTGCCTAGGGCTAGTAGTCCACAGTTGCAGCCAGCAGTAAGTTTGAGCAGGAGAAGGGGTGTTTAACCCTCCTCCTTGGCCCCAGACCCCAGCTGGGGTTTGCCTGGGGGGGCAGTCCCCCCACCGACTGGACTGCATCTCCAGCTAGGCTTACCTTCCCCACCCCCCAGCTCCCTTGTCAGCTAGTCTTCACTGCTCCAGGTAGGGAGCAGAGGGGTGGGGCCAGCCCTGCTCTCTGGAGCAAACAGCACAGCCCAGTCCAAGGCTGCAAAATACTGGGATTCTGGGGGACTCTGATTTAACCTGAACCAGGAAGGGGTCTGGGACAGAAATTTCATAAATCAGTTTGACCCAAATCAGTTAAGTTGGATTATATATTCAACCAGGTTTATCTTAAAGCAGTTTCAGCCATTTTGAAACTGGTTTATGTGCACTGAGCTTCTGTTCTGTTACAGGTTTAAACCAGTTTCTGATCACTTAAACCAGTTTATGTGTAACTTTTCTCCCTAGCTGAAGTGTGCAAGGATCCTGATGTCAGACGCTGGAGCTCTGAAGGGAGCTGCTGAATGACTGATAGTCACCAAGGTAGGTATGATTTAGTAACATCATCCTGGCTGTAAGAGAGGTGGGAATAACGTTCTAGGCCTGGGACTTAGAAACTGTAGTATAAATTAGACTACAGCATGGCTGGAATATATGAGTTTGACTTCACTGCTAAACGACAACAAAAAAGATGTAGTATTTATCATGGGATAACACATGTATGACAACTCTTCTGAAGTAAAAAACATGGTGAAAGTAAGGCATATTAGTTTTACTGTAAGGTAAATTTGCTGAGGTCAGTCTCAGGTAGGGATAGAGCAGGGGTGGGCAATTATTTCGGATGGAGGGCTGCTTAATGAGTTTTGATGAGCTGTTGAGGGTGGCACAGGTAGTCCCACCCCTTGATAGCTGCCTCACCCCCTTGTCACTATTTTGGGACCAGAACTCCCACCCCTAACCCCTGACCTTTGCCACCAGAAGTCCCTCCCCTTGCCCTATGGAAATACTCCTTTTGGGAGGGAGGAGTTGCCATCTTAGTTTCATAGTTTCATAGATTTAGGGTCGGAAGGGACCTAGTAGATCTTCTAGCCTGACCCCCCGCCAGGGCGGGAGAACAACAAAACCCCAAAACAAGAAACGGGACTCAAATGAGTCCAGCCAGGTAGGCATCCAGCCTCTTCTTAAAGACCCCCAGGGTAGGGGCCAGCACCACTTCCCTTGGAAGTTGGTTCCAGCTCCTAGCCGCCCTAACTGTGAAGTAGTTTTTGCGGATGTCCAATCTATACCTCCTCTCCATCAACTTGTGCCCATTACTCCTTGTTATGCCAGCGGGCGCTAGGGGAAACAGCGTCTCCCCCAAACCCTTCTGGTCCCCCCTAGTGAGTTTATAGACGGTCACCAGGTCCCCCCTCAGCCTTCTCTTGTGGAGGCTGAATAGGTTCAGGTCCCGCAGTCTCTCACTGTAGGGTCTGCCCTGTTGTCCCCGGATCATGCGGGTGGCCCTCCTCTGGACCCTCTCCATGTTGTCCACATCCCTCTTGAAATGGGGCGCACAGAACTGGACACAATACTCCAGCTGTGGCCTGACCAGCGTCGCGTAGAGGGGGAGGATCACCTCCTTGGCTCTACTCGAGATGCACCTGTGGATGCACGACAAGGTCCGGTTAGCCCTGCCAACCATGACCTCGCATTGTCGGCCCATGTTCATCTTGGAGTCAATAATGACTCCAAGATCTCTTTCTGCCTCCGTGCTCTCAAGTAGGGAGTTCCCCATTGTGTAAGTGTGCTGCTGGTTCCTACTGCCCAAGTGCAGAACCAGAAAGAAATCAAATCATATACTAAAGTCAAATACCTACTGAAACATATTTTGATTTTATTACAATAAATATTTTGTCATGATTTGTGTTTGTGTAGTGTATATAGAGGTGATTGCATAATAACTCAAAAATAAATTCTTAGTTTTGTATATTGTGTGTGTGTATGATGGTTGTGTGTATGTATGGTGGGGTGTGTGATAGGATGTAGGTGTGTGTATGGGGGGGATTTATGAGGGGGTGTGGTGGTGTGTAGGGGGGCATAGAGTATTTTGGGGTGTTGTGCCAACCCCAGCCCCACACTCTCAGCTCCTGTCCAACTGCAACTCCACCCCTGCCACTTCCCTACCTCTTGTCCAGAGCCAGCAGGGGACCAGGGAAGTGAAGCAGGTCCCTGGGGACTGCAGGAGTAGCAGCCCCGCACAAAAGGTGCACCCTGGCAGGTCTGGGCCCTTCTGCCCACAAGGGTGGGAGCGAGGCAGTACAGTAAGTTTGGGGCTGTGTGTACATGTTACCATTGTGGGCGGAAGGGCTGGGTGGGGTACAATTTGTTGGGAGCCGCTGAGGGCTGGATGAAAGTGCTTTGCAGGCTGGATTCAGCCTGCAGCTGTATTTTGTCCACTCCGGGATAGAGAGTTGACACTGGTGAACTTCTGACGCTAGTGAGTTTACATCACAGTAAAAACTAAAGAGCCTTGTTTTCAGTCTGACTTTTACTTTGGGTTAGCTGGTACAAAATTCCCTATCCTGTTTAAGTGATAAAGGAAAGCCCAACCTCTTCTGAGTTACCTTCCAAATCCAGAGGGTCTAGGAAAGGTAAAAACTTTCAAAGTAAATGCTATGTGCTAGAGCACAATAAATGTTCCTTGGAATATTTAAAGATGTTTCCAAAAAAGAAAAAAATACATTAAAATCTGGCTGAAAGAGTACTTGTGATATTTTGGAATGTATTTATTTGAGCTGCCTTTTGTTTTACACATGTATACACATATCAGAATGCTGTACTGCTCTCAGCAATTCTCTAAAATTATTCCACAGCTCAGAGATCTTGTCCAAGCCCATTTACAGCCTTAATGACAGCCTAAAAATTAAATGAATGATGCTGCCTGACTTAAAGGATAACTTTAAAGTGGACATGGCTGACTAGTTCCTCCTTTCCTAATGATTGCCCCATGAGTTTGCCCCTTAAATCTTATCAGGTGGCTGTGCTTTGACATCTCACAGGAGAGAGATTACAGGAACATTTCTGTCAGTCATTGGCCAGGAAGTAATCTTTTGGTTTATGCATGATTTGACAAGGCCTTCAGGGGCACCAGATAATAGGCCCATTTGGGGAGAAAGGGTTTAATACATCATAATCATAATACAAAGGAAAAAAGACCTCTTATTATATTCAAAATAACTCTCAAAGAATAATACTTAGCATGAGAACAATTTTATTTAGTACGTTGACCAAGAGGCTCTTTACAAGCCAGCTTTGATTGTGGATATTAAACAAACCTGTGGCAACTTCTTTGCTGTCAGTTTATCCACATGTAGTAAAGCCCCAGAAACATGAGAAATATGAAATGAACTTTTTTACTAAGACAAGAAGCTTATTTAAAAATTCTTTTTCCCCTCAATAGTTCTAAAAAGGTCTAAATAAGTTCTGCATTAAAAATAGGCACAAATCAAGATTGTAGAGATAGGATCTTTGTAACAGAATAATAAAACATATAGTTAAACTCACTAATGACTAGAAGATATTACAAACTAATGGATTCAGTCAATTAATAAGTAATTTTGTTTTATGTCTGTCATTGTAATATCTGAGTAAACAACAGCTCATAATTCCCACTGCAATTACTGGGAAGACTCCAATTAATTTCAATAGGAGTTGGATTATAGTTTAAATGAAATAATTTAATTTAAAAATAAAACTAACACCTTAAAATAGGTACTTCGTTGATCTGAGGGCTGTAGCTGTCTTAATTATTTAAGACAAACTTAAAGCATGCAAGTAAGTCTACAGCAACATAGTTTGTAAAATTAACTACTTCTAAGCAGTAGGAGATTTTAATAGACCTAGCAGTCAGATATTAAATATTTGCTAAAGATAGGGTTACAGGGTGGGATAGCTACTTTTGGTGTAAATTATTGACTATGTTGTTCTGAATGTGCAAATAATACAAGTTCTACTGTGTCAGGCATAGAGGTCTTGTGCTTTCAACTGTGGCCACAGTTTGCAACTCTAAGCAGAAACATGAGCTCCTCTGACATGGTTCATTGGCAATTTTGCAGCAAGCTGAGTGACCTTTAAACCTGCTACATATTATGGGTTGTAGAATATGGAAACTTTGGTATTTTTAGAGACAAAATTGACCAATATTACCACCAAGCAAGATTTTATTCTTCCATTAGCTCACTGAAACAACAATAAGATATGAAGGAATGGTTATGGGCACAGCATGATGCATTTTAGACAGTCTGCTAGATATGAGAACATATAAATCATCTTCCTAAATCCAAATAAGAGTGACTTCAAAATATTTTTGTGAAGGTAAAATAATCTCTGCATTATAAAAGAATAGCTATTGAATCTCTACGAAGTAAAATAAAAGTTGTGCCAAGAAGAGATCTGGGTTTTCCTTAACTGTTCTTGAAACACAACTATTTAAGTTAGAGCTACTGGACAGCTCCTTCATAGCCTTGTTCTTTGTTCATGGGACTTTGCTGAAGCACTGCCAAACACATGCATTCGGAAATAATGCAATAAACTCCCCAAATCAAGAGACTGGCTTAATCCCAAGGGGTTTTTTAATAATAAAAATGGATTTACCTTCTCATTTGTGAGCTTCAGGGTTCACATTTTAAAGCTTTTTTCTCCCACAATGAGGGCCAGAAATTACAAATTCTAAACCCTTATAATTTAGCACTGGATTCTAGGCACTGGGCCTTCAGTAAAAAAAAGTCTGATCTTAAAGGTTAGGGACAGACATTACACACAAACTGGTTTAAGTGATCAGAAACTGGTTTAAACCTGTAACAGAACAGACATTTAGTGCACATAAACCAGTCTGAAAATGGCTGAAACCAGTTTGAGATAAACCTAGTTGAATGTACTATCAGATTTAACTGCTTTGAGTCAAACCGGTTTACACAATATCTGTCCCAGACCCCTTCCTGGTTTAAGTTAAACCAGAGTCCCCCAGCATCCCAGATGCTTTGCAACCCTGGGTGGGGCTCTGCTCTCTGCTCCAGCCCAGCAGGGTTGGCCCCACCCTCTGCTCCCTGGCTGCAGCTCCAGCAGAGACCTCAGGTACAGAGACATTTGTCTGGCTTCCTCCTCCCCCCCTGCCACTTCCTGCTCAAGCAAGGATTCTCCCTTCCCCTCTGCCTTACACAGACACCTCTCAGCATTAGCTAGCAGGCTACATGCTGGCTATGGTCTGTGCTGTGGGAGATGGGACAATGGCAGGCAGGACAGTGTTGGCTTAGGGCTTTTTGAAGCTAATCAACAGGTAGCTGGTAATGTCCCTCTGTTACTTCCTTGGAAAAAGTTATTTAAGAAGAGCTTGAACTAATGAGAGAGGCTTTTATTTTGTTTGATGGACTGATAAATGCTAATAACTCCCTGTGTAACTACCTGCAGTGTAACCAAATGTTATCAACCGGAGGGTGGGGGAGGCGGAGGGAGACCCCTCCTTAATCAGAACGTCCTGCCAGGGCCTGGCCACACCTCTCCATAGT